TGATAATGTCAACCAATTCAAAAAAAGCATTTGAGAAAAACCAAAATCCATTAATAATAATCAACATCAATTAACAATGAACACTCTTAGAAAACTAGAAATAAAGGGAACTTTCTTCAAAAAAACTTACGCCAAACATCATCTTATAGTGAAATATTGAAAGCTTGTCCTCTGAGAACAGGAAGAAAGGAAGCCTACTAGTACCACTGTTATTCAATAATGTACTAAAGATCCTAGCCAGTAGACTAAGAGGAAAAAAGGAAAGAACTGGAAAGAAAAAACACTTGTTATTCACAGACAACATGCCTATTTACTAACATGCCTATTTACTGAGAAAATCCAAAGGAACCTGCAGATAGATTATTAGAACTAACAGCAAAATTGAATTCAAGGACAATACAAAATTAACGGTGTTTCTATATGAAAGTAAGTTTAAAAACAAAATGTTTTAAAAATTATACCATTTATAATACCAACCAAAAAAATCAAATACCTAGGAATAAATCTATTGAAACATGTGCAAGACCTCTACCCAAAAAACTGTCTTTTTAATTTAATTTTAAATTAAGGGATATATCCTACCCTGAGACCAGAAGAAACTAGATGGTGCCTGGCTACCACTACCAACCATGCTGATCAGGACCACAATAGATGGATCATGATAGAATAAGACAAAAATGTGGAACAGAACTCAAATTCTTAAAAAGTCCAGATTTACTGGACCAGTTGAAACTCTAGGATTCCCCAAGACTATAGTCCTGAGATATTCTTTAAACCTTAAACCAAAGTTATCCCTTGAGGTCGCCTTTTAGTTAAATAACAGATTGGCTCATAAAATAATGAATATCACCTTTAAGTATTGTGTTGCTTTAAAATATCGCCTGTATGAGACCAAACAGTCAACAATTACTTGAAAACAAAGATGGGAATGTAAGGGCGAAGGGAAACCAAACAACCAGAATGGAAATAATGAGAATGTTCATGCATTGTGAAAAATGTAACCAATGTCACTGAACAACTTGTGTAGAAATTGCTGAAGAGGAACCTAAACTGCTGTGTAAACCTTCACCAAAAATACAATAAAATATTATTTAAATATATATATATATAGTTATGTGGTTGGGGAAAAAAGCATTAGCTATAAAAGAAAAGATGGACATTGGACTATATTAAAATGAAGAACTTCTTTTCATCCAAATACGTAATTAAGATGTGAAAAAGGAAGCCACAGAGTGGAGAAGATATTTGCAACACGGAACTCCAAAGGGCTTGGATACAGAATATATAAAGAAATCCTATTTGTCTGGAAAAAGATAATCCAACAGAAAAAAGGGCACAAGAATTTAACCAGCATTTCACAAAAGCATATCCAAATGGCCAATGAATGCATGAAAAGATACTCAGCACTATACTACTACATACCTAGGAAAATTGCTATAATGAGCAAGACTGACAATATGAAGTACAGTAAAGATGCAGTGAAACTGGAATGCTCAGATACTGCTGGTATGAATGTAAATTGCTACTAAATACTTCATAAAATGGTTTAATATTATTAATTAACAGTTGATATACCTTATAACCCAGCCATTTCACTGTTAAATATACACTCAACAAAAATGTATGTGCATGAAGACTATAAGTCATATACAAAAACATTCACAGCACCATTATTCTTAACAGCCATAACTGGAAACAACTGATAGTGTAACACACAGATATACTGTGGTATATTCATAAAACTAAATACTAAATAGCAATAAAAATGAAAGGAAAAAAAATCTACAGCTACACACAACAACGCGAATCTTCCAAGTATAATGTTCAGCAAAGAAGCCACGTGAAAAGGAAACCATACTATACAATTCCATTTATGTCAAGTCCAAAAATGGGAAACTAATCTATGGTGTTAGCAGGCAGGAGAGCAGTCACCTCTGAGAAGGGAAGGCTATGTAACTGTGAGGAAGCATGAAGGTGCTTTTAGGAGCTGGTGGTATTCTGTTGTTCAATCTGGGTGCCAGTTACAGAGCATGTTCTCTTCAGAACATATGGTTGAGCTATGTGCTTATGATTTTTGCAGATATATACATATATTTTAATTAAATAGTAAAAAAAAAAAATACAGTGAGGTGGCCTGGTGGACAGGCTAAAAGAAAGAACACAAATAAAATGGAAAAGAACATACACAGAAATGACTGCATAGAGAATGTTGGATATGGAATGCAAAGAAGAGACAACATACGCACTGCTCGCTGATCTTCCTGAATATCGAGCAAAAGAATTTTCAAAGCTAGAATAGATTGAAATTTTCCTGAAGTAAAGTTTTAACCTCTACATCAAAAAGACACATCCCGGACTAATGGACCACAGCTACCAAGGCCTCCACCAGACTGAGTTCAGTACAGCTAGACAGTGCCCGGCTACCACCACTGACTGCTCTGATCACAACAGAGGGTTCTGGACAGAGCTGGAGAAGGATATAGAACAAAATTCTAACACACACACACAAAAAAGACTAGATTTACTGGCCTGAAAGAGTCCGGAGAAACCCCAAGAGTATGGCCCCCAGACACCCTTTTAGCTCAGTGGTGAAGTCATTTCCGAGGTTCACCATTCAGCCAGGGATTGGATAGCCCCACAAAACAAAATGGGGCTAATGAGGCACAGCAGTCCAGGGACAAGGACTAGAAGGCAGAAGGGGACAGGAAAGCTGGAGATAGGGAACCCAAGGCTGAGTAAGGACAGTGCTGACATGTAGTGGGGTTGTTAACCATTGTCACAGGGCAACCTGTGTACTAACTGTTTAATGAGAAACTATTTTATTCTGTAAACCTTCATCTAAAGTGAGAATAGCAGCACAACTGGAAGAACGTAATTGTCATTGAACTGTGCACGTAGAAATTTTTGAAATGGTGTATCTTTGGCTATGTATATTTTCACTGAAAAAAAAAAAGATTGAGAAGGAAGAGGGTTGACATGTTGTGGGGTTGTTAACCAATGTCATAAAACAATACTTGTACTGACTGTTTAATGAGAAACTGTTTTGTAAACCTTCACCTAAAGTACAATTAAAAAATAAATAGATAGAAATTATCCTTAGAATTGTAAAATAAAAGACACATCCTGTCCTAGGAAACTCGGATTCATATGCTGGTGAAGTCATTAGACATCAAAGAAACACTTCAAGGAGAAAGAATCACCTAGCCATTAAGACAGAAAAGGCACGAAGAAAATATCAAAATTAGACTCAAGATTTCACCAAAGCAAATTAAATGGTGATAGTGGGGCAAAATTCTAAATAACTGTGGTTACCGAACAGAACATAAATATGTTACTTTCAACAATAACTTAACCGACACAAAACAGCGGTGAGGAAAGTGGGAGGAAGTACACCTGGGCTGACTTCCGGGGAACTGACGGACACCATGTGGTAAGGCTGAAATGCAGGTTAGAAAAAAGAATGACTCCAACCGCCTTCAATGTCACTTCAATTTCTTTTTCTTCTGCTAAATTCAAGTAAATTTAAGTTTAAAACTTTTAAATGAATAATAGCATTTAGAGCATGACACATATTCCCCCCGGCTTGTTTATCTTTCTCTATGTATGTGTCTCTGAAATAATAGTTACCAAATATTAAGTTAACGTTCCTGGGAATTTGGGGTGTTGTTGGATTTTTGGTTTTTTTTAAACGTCTTTTTTTCGTATCGCTTCAACTTTTTATGAAAAGAAATCAATACTCTAAAAATCAATGAATGAATTAATCATCTATGGAAGACATTCAAAGGCATTTCATTTTTTTCCCACTGAATAGTAAAAGCTAACAATTTCACGCTTGCTTGATGGAATCAATAAATATTTACAGAAAATTTTTTTGGTCAAGAAAACACCTAATTAGTATAAAATTATTAAAATAAAATAATAATTCTCATTCAAGTTCACAGATCTCACAAAATTATAGTGCACTACCAATCAAAAATTCAGTTATAATTTGTATAACAAAGACTCCTAAGAACTTTCTCCTGATTTCACCAATAATATTAGCACTACTACTCATTATTTTTCAAATTTAAAAATGGACATATCTGAACCCATTGGTGTCAAGTCATTCCCGACTCAGAGTGACCCTACAGGACACAGTAAAACTGCCCCATAGGGTTTCCAAGGTTGTAATCTTTACGGAAGCGGACGGCCACATCTTCCCCCTGTGGAGCGGCTGGTGGGCTCAAACCACTGCTTAGCCACTGCAGCACCCGGGCTATTTTATGAGGGTTCATTAGTTCTCTCTCATAAACTAAACAATAAAAAAGCAGAAAGTGCTTACTAATGAGAATTTAATTATGAGTCATTCATGACATTCGGAGATACAGCCAGATAAGTCATACTAGCTGACAGGAAAGTAAATATGCTTGAATTCATATTCGCTTCAGAGTAACAGTGACAATATCTAGCTTCTGTGCCTTCTTATCAGTTTCACACCCTGGAGGAAAATAAGGAAGAAGTCCCTCAAAGTCAAATAGAATATATTAGAAACGGGGTTAAAGGTGAAGAAACGCTTTAAAAGAAAACCAAGAATAATCCCAATTTTTAAGAAACCAGAATGAGGACGATTGCCACCAGATTTATATGTAATTTAAACAGGAATTTGTTTCAATATTTAAAAATGAAACAAGCACTAAAATGTTTCCAAATTAAAAAATATAGATACACTTTTAAAACTAAAGATTATTCTTTGAGGACATGAGCTAGTATCCTGTTTATATGCTTATTTTTTCAATTGCCCCAACAAAGCATTTTTTATTACCAGGCTCTTCCAAGGTACATTGATTGGAGCAGGTTAGTGCATTTTTTTGTTTTGTTTTCATTGAAGGAGCTGGAGAACATTCTTAATACTTAAAAGGCAAACATGCAGAGAATGCAAGTACAGAGGATTAAGGGAGACATTCCAAGGATGGTAACCTTCACAGTATTATCCCCAAACAACAACAAAGGCAGTTCCTCACCTGCTGAGCTGTAGCATCCTGTTGGACATATGTGACCTGGCCTGGGTCTGTAAACAGAGTCTAGACAAAAAAAACAACTTATCAATAGATCTCTAGACAGCTTGCCTACACAGGGAAAATTATCCTACTGCTAAGCACCAATTCTTGGGAGAGTTAACTCCCATTACAGCTAGTAATAATCCTGCATTAATAAAGAAGATAGATAGTAACCTTACATTTAGCTAAAGCCTTTCATTCAAATGGCTCCAGAGAGATTGTGTAAGCTAACCATCTCAAATGTCTAACATACTTCACAATTTCACTCTTCTGCAAAGCCTGTCGAGGTTGCATAGCGCAGTCAGTTAAGGCAGGCATGTCATGAAAACACAAGGCTGGCCATGAATGAGGGCACTTAATGTTCACACTGTGTAGGGCAGGAGTGGGCCTGTGATTAAATGAGAACGGATGGAAGCGCACAGACATTCAGAGGAGTATTATAGTCATAAGGATTACAGCTGTTTCAAATATACATGCACATTTATTATCAGAAGAGAATTAGAAGGAAAATAAATGGAAATTAATGTCCCACAGGTTCTTTTTTTGGATAAAGCCAGTAAGGTCTTAATTAAAAAAAAAAAAAAATCATTATAAACACATGGTAGCGTGGGTCACGGGGCAGCAAAGCTAAGTCAAGAAGGAAAATCTTCAAAACTATTTCAGCCACAGCATCACGTCTAATATCTCCAATTTAGAAAAATATTTTTTTCCTCTAAAATTTTTAAATGACTTTAATTCATCCAGCCTTTTAGCTAATCTATGGGAGTAAGAACTATGGTTTAGTTTTGATTCCAGAGGAACATAGAAAAGAATTTCAGCCAGTGTCACACTTCTTGGATTTAACATGCAAAAAAAAAAAAAAAAATTATTATTATAATTTAGAAATTTAGTAACAAAGTAATAAACTACAAGTTGGGCATAGGACATTCTTTACATAAACTAGCTTATTTTAATAGGGTAGGGGACTGAAAATAAGTAGAGGCATTCCCAAAGTACCCGCCTGACTACTGGGCTATTTCATCTTTACATAGATTTGAAAGATATTAATTAGGAGGGCCCGCTTCTTCTCAGGAGTGATTAGAGCCACTTAATTAAATACTGAATGAGGGCAAATTGCTATTACCAGCATCCTACTATACAAGCATGGAATTTATTTTTTTAACACATATGTTTAAAAGCACTTTGTCCATTGTAAAGTGCTAACAAGAGAAACAAGCATTTGTATATGGGAAAACATTTGTGTCATGCATTGGAAAACTGATGCCCCAAGTCTCTGGCAAAAAAATAAAATAGCTATAATTGTACCAATTTCACCAGGAACCACTTGGTTCTATCACAGTCCTACCAATCAGTAAGTTATGTTAACAAGCTAACCTGACCCTCAGCTTACACATTTAACTGAAATAATCTGTATGACGTATCTTTAGTTCTACAAAACTAAATGCCATTTTTGGCCTGGTTCTTGATACTTAACAAAAGTAACAAACTCATAATCTAGTCAGTGGTCACTGGGGAGAAGAGCTGATATAGGCTAGTACTCTAGCTCTTCACATTTAATTTAAATAAATAACCCCTGTCACACATCCTCTGCCAAGTCTGCTGCAAGCTCCTGGAGAGCACAAATCTTATCCAAATATTTTCTGTCTCACCAGCACCTAGCACGGGGACTGGCAGAGGGAAAGCGGAAGTGACTGATGAATTAATTAGTTAATAAGAAAACTGTAAACAAATAACACCTCACGTGCCTGCGCAGCTTCCACAGGATGGATGTAAACCAGCGTGTGCTCCGGGCCATCCACTGAAGTGTAGGAGGCGCCGTCTGCCGTGTACACCACCTGCTGGGGTGGACGACCCTGCTCATCAGTGTAGACGATCTGGGTCACAGTTCCAGTGTCCGGAACAAAGTGCACCTGGGGCGAAAGGTAGACGGGTATGTTGCATCTTTTCTTGTAGAAGAACACCAATCCCACAAAGGTACACGGCTAACCAAGCACAGTCCACACCTGCCTTTCTAAAATATCCCCCACTGAAAGGAAAACAGAGGCTGAGAAACCTTCATCCACACGGAGTTAGTGACTAGGAGACAGGATCCTGATGGACTGCTTAGTATTAGACAGCTGACTTAAATCCCCGTTTGCCTCAGATGTCCAATACAGACATCACTCTCAGACAGGAATGAGGGTATGGCTAACTGACCCTGGAAAAGTGACTGAAGATTCCTGGTTGATAATACTACCAAACTACAAAATACAAATTATTTTGTGACGTGAGAAGATATGTCTAGACTCAAAAGCCAATTGCTCTCAACACATCATAACAAATTCCAGTTTACAGCTAATAGTGCCTTTCAGCAAACACATGCAAATAAGGTCACTTTCTTTCCTGTAAGTTCTTTCATACTCAAAGGACAGACTGGAGGCATATCAGTAAATGTCTGCTGAATCAATGAATACAATAGAACTCCTCCTTATCAGTTAGGTAAAAATACAGAAAATTCTAATAAACTAATTTTAAGAGTTTTTGGACCCCTGGACACCCTTTTAGCTCAGTAATGAAGTCACTCCTGAGCTTTACCCTTCAGCCAAAGATTAGACAGGCCTATAAAACAAAATGAGACTAAAGGGGCACACCAGCCCGGGGCAAGGCCTAGAAGGCAGGAGGGGACAGGAAAGCTGGTAACAAGGAACCCAAAGTCGAGATGGGAGAGTGTTGACATGTCGTGGGGTTGTTAACCAATGTCATAAAACAATATGTGTACTAACTGTTTAATGAGAAGCTAGTTTGTTCTATAAACCTTCATCTAAAGTACAAAAAAAAAGAACATTAATGAAAGGGGAAAAAAAGCATTGCTTTAAAAATAAATTAGAGGACATTAACAATAAAAAAAAAAAAAAAGAGTTTTTGGAAAACTGATTCAGTTGTCACCAGAGTAAATAATTCCCCTTCTCCCAAGAACTAAAGAACTGAAGTAGATATTGAGTGTTGTAAAATCTTTTCTGAGTTGTCAGCTTTGGAGGTTTGAATTCTTGAAGGCTAGAGCCTGGCAGACTACCTGACACCCTGCATTTAAGGTATGGGGGCAGATGCGAAAGTGCACAGTTGAGAGAGAAAGAATTTATATGTTGATACTGAAGTCAGGCACTCTTAGGCTGGAATCCTTACTCGTACATTGGCTTGGATTTGAACCTAATTTTTTTATTACTTCAGTTTTCTACAGTGGGGAATGACAGATCCCAAAGGAATCCCCAGAAAGAAACCTGAGGACCACATGCAATCTAGCACCACAGAAATGCAACAAACTTCCACCTCTCTATCAACTTCTACATATATTCAATTTGCCCATGAAAAAATAGTTTGTATAGTAGAAGAACTAGGCTTATCACATATTTGCTCAGCTTTCATTGCTGTAAGATAATTTTGTGACTTTCTGTTTAGATTTGTTCATTAGCATCAAAACCACAGACTAGTTTTAATGCTTAAAAAAGAAAAAACATTTCCTCAAATGAAGAGCCATCCAAGTTTTCCAGTTGGGCTCTTCACCACTCCCTCGTCTTCTAGGAAAAGGACAACTGAGGAGATGCTGGAGGGGCCTTGACCTCTGTCGTCTGCTTACCCACAATGGGGACCCCGGTCAAGTACAGTGTCACAACCAGGTGTCCCTTTGTTCTGTGCTTTTACTGACTACACTCTGGAGTATACACAAAATACACTAAAATATCTAGCTACAGGAAAGTAGCCTTCAAAATGGATTCCCTGGGACACAGGACAGCATTCTCAACTATTCTGCTGAAAACATCTCTGGAATTTTTTTTTAAGTATTCAGACTCAGATTGTTAAATCACACCAGATGATTGACTTTATTACTTTATTATAATACCATTTTTGCTTAAAAACTAAGCTTTATACTTTGGTCACATATAAAACATGGCTCCCCGTGACTGCTAGCTCTTCCCAAAACTCCAATCCAGAGCCCAGATGCAGAGATTTGCCTTTGCTAAGAACAGTCAAAAGCATGTGGAGTTGGTTCTGATGGGAATTGGAAAGGCAGAGATCATCAATGACAGCACCATTTGAAGAGGGGACACTCCTCCAAAGCTGCTGACTGATAATGGGACAACTGTCATTTAGAGGTTAACATTCAGAATTTAAAAAGAAAACAAAAGAAAAAGCCACTCATTTTATAGACATACCTTGTGCCTCATTACACAAGGAGAATCAAAATCCTCTACTGGGAAACATAAAAGAAACAAACTACAGTTTGAGGAAGCAGCACCAGCAATATAAAATTAAACAGGAAGATGACAGCAATAAGTAGCAGAAAAGGCAGAGAAGCCTATAGGTGGTAGCTGAGCTCTTCTAAATCACAGTGAGCCATCCGGATGGAGCATTTAAAGTACAGAAACACTGCCTATTCCTCGTGCTCAAGTTCTTCAAGTCAGCTCCCTCCTAAATACTCATCACCACAGAGTAGCTGTCATTTCTTTAGCTGCCAGCTAACTGCACCCAACTAAAAAGCAGCTATGGACACACGGCTGGAAAGGACCAGTCTTCACCTGTGCAGTGTTCTGCTCGTGCTCTGCAGCTGTGGGCCACACGTGTGAGTTTTCAGCTTTGGAGTCCATCTCTTCTCCACTGGGCACTCCAAGACGGGGCATCTAGAGCAGCACAGGGCAGACAACACTCATCTGTCTACCACGTATGCACTCAGGAACAGCACACGCTCCCTCTGCAAGGTGCTGAAAAAGAGCAAAAGCAACCGAGACTTGAAGTAGATGAACTCATTTTAATAAATTATGCCTTGAACCTCTCAGAATGAGAAAAAATGGAGAAATTATTTGTAATAATAATACAGTGTATTACATGCTTGCTATGTTCTAGGCACTCCCTGTGTGTCTGTGTAAAATGCTCTCTTCATCAACGACGCATGAGGTAGTTACCTTGGTTCCTGATGGGAAGAATGAGGTTAGCAGATGCTAAAGGGAAGGAGTGATGGGTTCAAACTCAAGCCTGATGGCCACGCAGCCCTAACTCATTCCTGCCTTGGCACGGCTGTGGACACTGACTTCCCATACCACCTTTACCAGGAATGAGCGACATAACAGTAAAAGTCACAAAACGAGAAAAGAAAGGTGGGGAGGCGGGAGGGGACTGAATTTTCTGGGCCACAATTTGGTGACTGCAAATATAAACTTTGTTTTCCTATTTGGTCAGTGAAGGAGTGATTCATGACCAAATCAAAAGCCTTAGTAAAAATCAAGATAAACAAAACTTACGTCTTGAAATCTTACTCGTTTCCAAAACAGGCCTCTAAAGTGACCCATCTCCCCTTCTGATGATGATAGAACGCAGACACTTTAAAAGTCATGTGAGCCTTGCTGTGTAACAGGCAGCAGGGCAGCCACACTGGGTACACCTCCTCTCAACCTCCCAATAAAACAGTATAAATAGACACAGAAAGGCCAAAAGTGGTCAGAATACCAATGAACTAAAGATAAGAAAGACACTGGCCCAGTTCCAGCCAGAATGTTCTCCATTATTCATGGAAATAGGCTGAGAAGCACATCCTTAGACTACACACACTACAACCTCTGAATCAGAATAAGGCCCATATACGTGAGGGTATATATGTATGTATGTATGCAGGCATTATACGTGTATAGGTATGTATATATGTGTGTAAATATAGGTGTATGTATATGCTGCTATGTGACAGTATGCGCATACAGTCATATATATAATAAAGTACATAGGGAGCACAGTTACAGACACTTCTTAGACATAACCCAACACCTCGTGGGATTGGATTTCTGGGTTTGAAGGATTACAACCATAGTCTCATGGAATATCTCGGTCAATTTGGATAACATAGTTCATAAAGTTTGTGTTCTATATCCTAGTTTGCTGAGTAGCGTCTGGGGTCTTAAAAGCTTACAAGTGACCATCTAAATACAACTATTGGTATCTACTTGTCCAAAGCAAAAGAGAAAGAAGGAAACCAAAGACTCAAAGCAGGAATTTGTCTACAGGACAAATAGTCTACACAAACCATGGCCTCATCTACCCTGAGACCAGAAGAACTAGATGGTGCCTGGCTACCAATACCAACCTCTAATCAAAGCCACAACAGATGGACACTGATAGAATGGGAGAAAAATGTGGAAGAGAATTTCAAATTCCTAATAAAAACAAACAACAAAACAGACCTACTGGGCTGGTTGCGACTGGAGGACTCCTCAAGACTACTGTCCTGAGATACTCTTCAGACCTTGAACTGATAGTAACCCCTGAGGTCACCCTGTAGCTAAATACAAATTGGCTCAAAAAATACCATATTTTTACACAAATAACGCACACATTCTACTTTTTTGCTGACTGTGCCCTCCCCTGCCCCCCATGAGGTATTTTCATAAGCTTGCTATGCTAATTTTTTTTTAACAACAAAAAAGATTAGCATAATGTGCTGAAGAAATAACTCGTGGAGGGAAGCTGCAAAAGGCAAAAAAATGTAGAACACACATTATTTGTGTAAAAATACAGTAATGAATATCACGCATAAGTAATGTGCTCCTTTAAAAACAATCACCTACATGAGACCAAATGGTCAACAATTACTTTAAAACGAAGATGAGAATGTAAGGGGGCAGGGAAACTAGATTAATGAAACAGAACCACCAGAACGAAATAATGAGGATGTTCACGTATTGTGAAGAAGGTAACCAATGTCACTGAATAACTTTTGTAGAAATTGGTGAAGGGGAACCTAAACTTCTGTAGAAACCTTCACTGAAAACATAGTAAAATATTATTTAAAAAGAAAAAGAAAGAAAGAATAAAGCCCATAGAAAAAAGAAAAGATGCTTCAACGCCCAACTGGCTGTGCCTAACTCTAGGGTACAGTAACAACAGCAGGTCCGAACTGTGTGGGAACCATCTTCTAAGCCATTCAGGAGCCTAGTCTGCTTCTGCTCAATATTACCACGCTCACCCCACTCGCAGTCCTAAACTCCTCGCCCCATCACACACTAATACTCCACCCTGAATACACCTGCTCCTCTTATCTCCATTCGGACAGTACAGCAACACTGCAGTTTCCACCAGCAGGTGAATGTCTAAATAAAGGGGCATGAGAGAACTTTCTGGAGAAGCACAAATATCCTGTATCTTGTATCTGGATTGGGGTGGTCGTTATATGGGGAATATATGGGTCCAAAGTCATCAACCTGTCCAAATAAAATATGTTAATTTCATCTTTTATAAATTATACCATAATAAAGTTGATTTTTTAAAAAATCATACCTTTCTTATACAGCTACCAGTGACCATGGAGTTGATTCTCACTTATGGTGACCCCACATGTGTCAGAATAGAACTGCTGCTCCACAGGGTTTTCAGAAGCAGATCACCAGGCCTTTCTTCTGAGGTGCCTTTGGGTGGGTTTGAACCACCAACCTTTTGGTTAGTAGCCCAGCACCTAATCGTTTGCATGAATTCCTCTTATATAGCAGTACAATTTAAAGATATGGAGTACCTGGGTGGTGCAAATAGTTAACATACTTGGCTGCTAACCAAAAGGTTAGAAGTTCAAGTCCTCCCAGAGGTGCCTTGGAAGAAAGGCCTGGCAATTTACTTCCAAAAAATCAGTCATTGAAAACCCTTTGGAGAAGGACAACACACAATACAGGGGAAGTCAGCACAACTGGACTAAACCAAAAGCTAAGAAGTTTCCTGAACACAACCAAACACTTCGAGGGACAGAGTAGCAGGGGCGGGGGTCCGGGGACCGTGGTTTCAGGGGATGTCTAGGTCAACCGACATAACGAAGTTTATTAAGAAAATGTTCTGCATCCCACTTTGAAGAGCGATGACTGGGGTCTTAAAAGCTAGCGAGTGGCCATCTAAGATGCATCAATTAGTCCCAACCCACCTGGAGCAAAGGAGAATGAAGAACACCATGGACACAAGGAAAGTATTAGCACAAGAGACAAAAGGGCCACATAAACCAGAGACTCCAGCAGCCTGAGACCAGAAGAACTAGATGGTGCCTGGCTACCACCAATGACCACCTTCACAGGGAACACAACAGAGAGTCCCTGACGGAGCAGGAGGAAAGTAGGGTGCAGAACTCAAATTCTAGTAAAAAGACCAGACTTAATGGTCTGACTGAGACTAGAGGGACTCCAGAAGACATGACCCCCCCCC